TGTTACTGGGCCTTGATGGGTCTCGAGGATCACGGCTGATCTCATTGACGTCTTGTGCCTTGCTAGACATGATGAACTTGTCGATTCTGCTAGAACGATTTTGATTTTTGTTGACCGCTTACGACCCTGTTAGAAATTTTGTCTTGTTGGATATAACATAACCATTTATGAACGTCAGACCCCGATGGACTGTGTTAGACATCGCGAATATTAGAAAAGTGTTATGGACTTTTTTGGCATCCTGTGATTTCCCGGACATTCGAGATCTTAATTGCCATTGTAAAAGGGCATCTTGAAGGATAACCTATACGTAACAAAATGCCTTTAGAATGGCAGGATCTTGGGCTTGGTGTGAGTTCTTGGACTTTTGCGATTACGTAGGTCGAAATCGCAACTCACGGGATAACCCAAACATGACAGACCCCTTCATGTCTGTCTGTATGGCTGCCCGTAACGCCGCGTGCCCAGGGTAGAGGGTCTCACGAACCAAACACTCGACTAGATGTAATGAAACATTGACTGCCTAACAACGATCACTATTTACAACTTTCTCGAAATGACGGTATGGGAAAGAGCCTTAGACTGTACAATTACATTAGGAATTTCTCTTGCTGTTGATGGCTTCCTGGAGCATAAAATGGTTAGGTTACGGCGTCAACCACTTGTGATATAATTTCGAGAACGGACAGTGTGTATATAACAATATTTATCGTTTTACTGTTATACAGTCTAGATTTTGCATATGTTATTATGCAGATTACATTGTAAATGCAGAAGTGTAGTAACTACTTTTGTTTTCCTGTTGTTTCTACACACTAGGCTAAGAGTGAAAGTATATCGGAAATATAAAGACTGAAACTAATTCGATAATCACCATTTACCTCTTGTGTATCTTTCCATGTTGTTATGATGCGAAGACGGGATACGTGGTGCCAAGAGTTCGCTCGGATACCATTTCCAAAACCCAGCAGCGCCGTTGATTTCATTTTCCCCTTTGAGGACCCCGTATGGTTTGGGTACTAAGAGGCGACCAACAAGGAGCAGACGTAACAAGTCTTTTCTCGACGGGTTAGCCTTTTATGCGTCAACGACCCTTAAGACGTAAAACAACCGTAAGTTTACGTGCATCAAGTAGTACTTTGCATACATATACATATATACATTGACATACATATACATGTATACTTACATATACTTATATATATGCATATGTAAACCTCTATAAATCCATACATCACGAATTTACACACGAATATGCAGAAACACACACACACACACACACACACACACACACACACACACACACACACACACACACACACACACAACACATATACATATACATATATATATATATATAATATATATATATATATATATATATATATATATATATATATACATACATATATAACACAAACATTCATATATATATATAAATAATATATATATATATTATATATATATATATATATATTATATATATATATATATATCACTCGGTAGTCTCGATTTTCATTTGTACCTCATCATTGCACCACAGTCCCACCTTCGCCGTCTCTCGTGGTGGCGCTGCAGAGATCGGCCACATCTTAACGGCCAAGTCGTTGATTGAAAAAGACTCTACTCGGCGGCGCACGTGTATCATATTACCTTTTTGGCCAGTGATACATATTCAAGAGCTATATTGGTCCGTAAACTTCCTCCTCACAAGCTTGTAACTTTGTAGTATTTCTAAGAACTCTGCAGGTGGACTCGGTGCCAATATCCAGCTGGCTTGTTCCGTCGACTAAGAGCGCGTAAGGGCGCAATTTGTATGAGAGATTACCAAGTTTCCATAACTTCATCACAACTAATCTTAACTTTCACATCCAAAGACGTTTGAGAAAAAAACGAAAAAAAAAAATCTTGTAAAGTCGACAAAACCGCATTGTTTCATCTCCTTGATGTCGACTCGGAGACATTTCGAATTTGATACATTAAATGAATAAATAACATTTGTGGCAGCCAGGATGAATGTTTTGAGTGTGTTATGTCGACTTATTTGTACCATTGTATAAACTTTTGAACAGCATTTGATGGCAAAGCATAATATACAACTCCTTCGCCGTAGCCAGCTCGTGTGACCTGACCAGTCCTCGCCAACAAGGTCTTTCACGTCCCTTGAACGATGCTCGTATCTGGCAAACCACCTAACACTCTCGTTCCCCCTTTGAACGGCTCGTCCCGAACGCGGCGTCGGACCGAAACATCCTGACCCCCCCCCCCCCCGCCTGTTCTTTCCAAAGAGACTGGCGTTGTGGTGAAGTGACACTCGGAGGGCAATGTTGTTTCACGGTCCCCTTCTCCCTGAACGTGAGATGTCCCCTTCCCCTGAACGTGAGTCTTAGGTGCTTCTCTCTCACCGCTTAGCCTAGCTTGACGTCCATCTGAGCCCAGTAGCTGGAGCGAGCATCGACCGGCCACGTCACATGCGGAAGGAATTCCATGCCTTCGGTGCCATCAAGCCAGTTGATATATATTTTTGTAATGTAAGCAAATACCTATACGATGTCGTAATTTTGTTGTTCGTAACTCATAATCGAAATATTAGCTAGTTTCGACTTTCGGAATATTTGGTGTCCTTTTATGGTGTGCGGGAATGTCGAGGATTTCAAAGGGGTTCTGGGACCTGGCGAACCGATTGCGAGAGGAAACCGAAGACGCTCGTTCCTCGCTCAAGAAGGAAGAAGCCGAAGAAAAGAAGAACAAAATAAAAGCTTTTGTTAGACGATCATCAAAAAAAAAAAAAAAACACCGCTGTTTATTTTCCTGTCGACACGCGCCCAAACACGAGAGTGCTTGCCAATACACTCGCCACAGCAGTCGGAGTCTCCCCCTACCATCCCTATGAATTCAGTATCATATGCCCTATTTCCAATCATCTTTTCATTTTGATGTTTCTCTCCATTCAGCTCTGTATCCGTTTCATCATCGCTTTCCCCGTATCCCTTACCAGTTGTTTATCTTCCCCGCTGTCTGCCCGCGTTCCTCCCCTCCATGGCGAAATATTACAGATGAAACCGCTAATCTATTTTTTTTTTTTTCTTTTTCCTTTTTCTCCTCCCACTCATTCTCTTCCCTCCCCCGTTAGGCAATCGCTATCTATCTATCTATCTCCTCGTATCCGTTTTTGTCATCGAGTTACGTAATCGAAAGTGGAATTCACACTCTTTTGGCAAACCACAATAACGGAGCTTGACGTCTCTCGCTCGGTCTGTATTCGCGCGAACAACACCTTTTTTCCCCTTTGAAAACGGGCCTAATTCCTCCTGCTTGTCCCTTAGATTAAAGTCAGAAGGACCCTCTTGTATCCTCGGCAGAGGGGCGGGGCCATTTCATGCCCTAATGCGCCCGTCGACGTTAATCTATCTTGTTAAAATATTACAGAATCTCCCCCTTCCCCTTTCTTCCTCTATTCTCTTGATTTTCCCAACGTTTTTATTTTTTAGTTATCTTTTTTTTTCACTTATATACTTGAGTTGGATCCATAATGAATGGACTCCATATTTCGTATCTAACGTATCTGGAGCATCAAACACATTTCAAACTTCCGTCTGAACAGTGGATGAAATGCTAAAATAGGCCTACATCCAGCCACCCACAGCACACCCGAGACAGCATTCTTTCTGTATGACGGAATAGTTTCCAACTCCCATATGAAACGTTCTGCCTGCTTCATCAAAATGTACTAATTTTTGACTCTTTAACTTTGACTCAACCAGACTTAACCCTATCCTACTACTGCCGCTGTTACGAGTATTGATGCTATTGTTATCATTATTATTATTGTTTTTCCTTTGGATTTCCTCCACTTCCCCGTTATCGTCATTCATTTCACGTTCCTCCTCCTCCCTCCTCCTTCCCTCTTCCTCCTAATCTTTCATCATCTGCAGCAACATTTCTTTCTTTCCTTCTCCTACCCTCCATCCCTTCTCCCCCTCCCCATCCCTCTCCCATTACCCCTCCTCCCTCCTTCCCTCTCAAATTTCCGTGTTACATTTCAAGATTACTTCGAAAGCGTGAAAGGAAGATATTGTCGTCCATAAAACCATTTTTTTCCTTCCTTAAGACTCAATTACATGTACAACGTGTAGCTTTTACTGTAAACATCTTCCTGGAAATAAAATTGACAAGGATCTCCTGCGTTTATGTGTCTTATTTACCCCTCATGGAATTCATATACAGACGGATACCAGCTGGATGTTTGAGAAGTATGAACACATTTCTAAATATATCTAAGAAGAGACAGATGGAATGAATGCTATATATATCTGATAGCAGCGGATTAGAAGAACGTGCACCTTCCCGCTGGCTTTGAGATATATATTTCTCAAACATAGGGAAATAATTTGACAAGTAAATATGAATAAACAGGATTACTAGAATGCTTTGAAATGTGAATACCTTTTGTTGCTCATATGGGTGATGTGATAAATAGTGCTGGATACATCAGCTGGAGTTTTACGGAATAAAAATGTTTAAACCAGAAATAAAGGAACGAAAATAAAGAGAAAATAACACGTTTTCATGAACATTCAAGATGTTTATTATCATTACTATAAATGTATCATTATTCCTATGATTATCATAACTACCACTATTGCTATGATTATCATTGTTTCCACGCGAGCTATGATTACTTTCAGTTTTAAACTCATTAACAGCATCATCATAATCAGCATTATTACTACCACTGTTATCATTATTTCACTTGGCCTTATTGTCACTTCAATGATAGTAATGGTGTTATCTGTATCACCCTCATCTCTCCCGCTTTTATCATAATTACTCTTCGCACATCGGTGTTAAAAATGAAGGTGATGATCATTTGCATAAATCAAAAACAATTGCACGATACAATGCAATAATTTCATAGCATCATTGAACGTATTGAACGATATTACAATAACATTTCATACATTTCATGAGGTAATTTGCGAAACTAATGGCTCTTTCCC